CACACACACACACACACACACACACACACACACACACACACACACACCATGGTCACAGATAATGTTTTTGTAGAAATAGTTATGTGTATCTAATGTACGTACGTATGTATGTATGTATGTATATACACATATATTGGGTGTCATCCCTCCTCAGGAGCTGTCCACTTTGATTTTGAGATAGTTTCTCTCACCATGACCTGGAGTTCACAGATCAGGCTAGATGAGATGGCCATAGTCCTGGAGACTCTTCTATCACTGACAACTATGCCCTACGACATCTAGCTTTTTAAAGTGGATTCTGGGGATCCAACAAGGATCTTCATGCCATTTTCTACATAAGTAAATCATTTTCACTACAAAGAACTTGCTTTCAGGAACTTTACCCAGGTGTATTTAGGCTTGTGTCTGTTCTCTGCTAAAGAGAAGACTCTTTATAACCTGGTAGACACTTAGCCCTTTCAACCTCCAAGTGCAAATGAGCTTTAAAGCCAGTAGATTTCTTCCTGTGTTCATTCTCTCAGACTGAACCTCTGTTTCCCCAGCCACTGTTTCCCTGTGAGGCTTCGTGGACTCATCTTCCACGACACTTACTCTTTTCCCCTCATTTTGTCATGTATGCTCTCTCTGTCTTGGGATACATTTTGTCCATCTCATTTTCCACATCACTAGCTGAGTGATCAGCATGTTCCAGCCTACTATTCATTTCTTCCTGTTTCGTTTCAACATTTAGAAATTATATTTTTAATCTTGAAAACATTTATGTCCTTTGATTGTTCCATTTAATTATCGTTTTATATCATTTAATTTTTTTCATTTTTGTTTTCTGGAATCTTATTCCCCTCCAGGAATATGTTGTCCCCGAGTCAATGTCTTGTTTGTTCTGGGTTGTAACTGTTCTAGGAGGCAGCCAGCAACTGTGGGAGGCTAAGCTCAGCAAACAGGCCAGGTTAGATCCTGGGCCAGGAGTGAAGACACTCGGTTTCAGATAGTCAGTCTTGCTCAAAGAGTCAAGGGAAAAGCGGTCTTTGTCCCCAGGTCCTGCAGACCAACCTTCTGAGCCATAGGCTCAGTATGGGCCAATAATATCAATAGAAAGCCTCATAAAAGCCATCCGTTTTCGGTCTTTGGTTTGAATCACTTCTTGCATCTCCATTGTCTATAGATTCTTGGAGCTAGCAACAGACCTCTCTCCCTCTCTAGAGGGTGTATACAGAATCCCAAAGCAAGAGCCTTTATGTATAATTGGTTTGGAATTCTGGGAACTCCTGAGTCACTGTTTAGTGCTAAGACACTTCTATTGGGAAGGGAAATGTTTTCTTTTTTCTGTAAAGAAGAGTGTAACAGGATTCCTTTCTGACTTAAGAGTTATAGTGAGAGAATTCCGAAGAGACAGGAAAAGTAACACTTCCTATCTCGATGTTTTCAAACTGAATGCAGACGATAGATATTATTTTCCTCTAGATAGTCACATATGTTCATTCCCCATTAGCCAACTCCAGGAGATGAGTCATGACCAGTCTAAGTCGGGCATGGAAACTCCATTCCCGTCTGCCAGGACACGCATTCCAGCCACTCTGTGACTAGGGAGGGTCAGAACAAATCCTGGCCAAAAGGATGAGATGTATATGTGTTGGAGGGGTTCTCCCTTGCTGCTCATTTTTGGGGGGATGATTATATGAGAGATGATGTCTGGAGCAGCGGAAGTCATTCTGTGATCATGAATCAAAGGAGACCAT